CGGGCTTTAGGGTACGTGTACACGGGCTTTAGGGTACGTGTACACGGGCTTTAGGGTACGTGTACACGTGCTTTAGGGTACGTGTACACGGGCTTTAGGGTACGTGTACACGTGCTTTAGGGCACGTGTACACGTGCTTTAGGGTACGTTGTTGCCACATTAAACATTCTTGATCTAAAAACATAATTAATGTTTTTTCATCAAGATTTCAAACTCCCTCTAAAAAACCTAATTAATAAATTAAGAAGCTATTAAATCAACTAAAAGTTATCGTACAGCTGACATCATGTGTTGAAATAACGTTAATTAAAAGACGTTATTTGAACGTTAATTCAACGTCACTTGTTCGTAATGGCAGTGATCGAATTTCACGATTAATTCGATACATTGTAAATGGTGATACGATTTATTTATCGTTATCGTGCGCACTGTATGCAAGAATAATATACAATAATAATACAAGGTGTCTGTATTGAGTATACAAGTTAAGTACAAAGACTACGATGTGTCTGTATTAAGTATGACAGTAAAGTATAAGTATACAAGGTTTCTGTATTAAATTATATTAGGTACAAACAATACAAGGAGTCTGTATTAAGTATAGCAGCAAAGTACAGAGAATAAAAGGTGTCTGTATTAAATATATAAGTTAGGTACCTACAAACAATACAAGGTGTCTGTATTAAATTTAACGGTGAAGTACAAAGTATACAATGTGTTTGTATTAAATATAACGGTAAAGTACAAATAATACAAGGTGTCTGTATTAAATATAACGGTTAAGTACAAATAATACAAGGTGTCTGTATTAAATATAACGGTAAAGTACAAAGCATATAAGGTGTCTGTATTAAATATAACGGTAAAGTACAAAGCATACAAGGTGTCTGTATTAACCTCGAGTTTCATCTCATTATGTACACAAAACACGCACTCTGAACACACACCAACGCCTGTCTCTTNATTGCTACTTGGCCAGTACCACTGGCCTTAACGTAAGTCTTTATACTATCCGAAATAATCGGATAAATAATAATTAGTCTTTATCCTATCCTTGCACTTCTTGCAGATCAACACGCTAACCGACAGGAGAATACAGACGATCAAATACGAAACTTTTATTCATTAAACTACGATAAGATAAACAGAGTTCGTGGGTTGAAGTCAGGGCAAGACTTCGGAGGTCTCTCTGTATGACTTAAAACTATCACAGACACTAAAAGTACACAATGGGTCAAAACTATATCATAAAAACTAAAAAGATCTCTACGTATCTATAGCTAAACAGGTTAACATCACACTAATATATTACAGGTCACAATGAAACACAACGATATTGGTCCTATATAAAAATATATGATATAGAGCTACTATTATATAATATTTACTATACTATAAAATATATATATACATACTATAAATATGTATGTAAAATATATATACTATACTTTAAAAAATACTATAGAGCTACTATTCCGCAATTCAGAGTGCATCCGGCCATTTGATTGAAAAATTAGATCAGTACCTGTCTCTTATACACATCTAGATGTGTATAAGAGACAGACCAACAGCAGCACTAACAGCAGCACCAACAGCAGCACCAACAGTCAACAACAGCATCAACAGCAGCACCAGCAGCAGCACTAACAGCACCAGCAGCACCAGCAGCACCAACAGTCAACAACAGCACTAACAGCACCAGCAGCACCAGCAGCACCAACAGTCAACAACAGCACCAACAGCACCAGCAGCAACAGCAGCAACAACAGCAGCACCAGCAGCAGCACCAGCAGCACCAACAGCAGCACCAGCACCAGCACCAGCAGCACCAGCAGCAACAGGTGTGCAGGCGTCCCGTTACCATGTACGGTACCGATGCACGGGCGCCGTTTTCTGTTCGATTTTCTGCCTCGTTTTCTGTTCAGATTTTTATCGTCGATGGCAGACTGAAATAAACTGCGAGCGTTGGGACAACTGGGATATAGAAGTAACTTTTGGTCGTAAGTAAACTGTTGACTGAACCAGCACCTCACCAGCAGCAGCAGCAGCACCTCACCAGCAGCAGCAGCACCTCACCAGCAGCAGCAGCACCTCACCAGCA